AAATGGCCACAAAATATTGAACACTATGAAATTGGGGTGAAGTTTGTAATTTAAATTTTTTTTTTGCGTATCAACAATTGAAATAAATTCTCTGTGTAACTGAAAGCTTCTTGTAAAAATAGCATTAATATTTAATTTATAGTTATCAACTATGTGTTTAAATAAAAAATTATGTAATATGTTCTCACCTTGTAAAAAAAGATATTAATTATCATTTGATTTATTATCGTTTATAAATTAAAATTTTCAATATTCCACTGATCGTAAACGTTACACAACAAAAAATATAAGCTACAAAAGCTTGTAGGTTATTGATTCTATTGTACATATCGACTTATGAATTATAATAAATGTTTAGAAATAATACCAATCATCATTTGAAGCCCAAATGTGCACATAATTCAGATATACTGATAACGAACCAACACCTTAACAATTCTACGTTTAATTATCTGAAATCGATTGATTAATATTAAGTACAACGTGAATACAATACACTTTGTGATTAAAAAACTAATCTCTGTGATAAACAATAAACTGAATAAAATCTAGAATCCTGGGTTTTTTTTTCCCTGATCAATCACACACTTGTGTTTATGTTTGAAAAATATTCATATTAGAAAAGAAAAACAGTGCCGTTAAAATGTTGTTCTGTTTAGAGAACAGTTTATATCACAAATATCCTCTTGAATAAATACTTAAATTAACCTTTGATTGTTGTTGAAATTTTATGTATGTGTTTCTGTATGGTACTAACCATGACAATTTGAGTGCTATCAAACAAATAATCATGACTGTTGATCTAAAAATGTAATTAATCAAATTAAAGATGTTATTTTTATGATTTATCTTAATTTCTTTTTACATACGTATAAATACAACTAATGATCCAAAATCTTTAGATTATAACTTTGCATCATATAAGGCATTAATCACTGAATATTACACCGACTGTTCCTTTCACAAAAATATCTTGAGGTAATGCAAAGTTATTTAATTAAATGATATTTTGTACACTTTTAATTTGACCATAAATATCAATGTACACTTTAGAATTTCAAGATATATATATATATGTACAATAATTTTCTAAGGATTATTTTAAAGTTACAAATCAGATTTGCGTTCCGTTTTCAATAGGCTTCATATTCGAACAAGTTCGTAGTGATACCGGTTACGCATCCATGGTAGAAATGTTATAACGTGTGATCCGCATATTAGAGAGCAGCCTATTATCGATCGAAACAGTGACGCATAAAATACGAGCGAGCAGCCTAGAGTCCTGATTGGCCCTGCTTCCCTGTCTAGCCCAGCCAATTGAGTCCAGAACACAAGTCTCAGCCTCGGAGATATGAATCATTATATTTCAAACATACTCTGTTTATATAGCAATCAAACAGACTACATCGTACCATAAAATTGAAAATAACATTTGTACAAGATTTAACCTTCAGGAAATGACACAAATAAATATTGACCAATAAGGAGATGACACGTTGGAAGAATGTTGACCAATGGGGAAATGACACTACTTCTCATTCAGGAATGGCATCAGATAATTTCTGGGGTATTTTCTGAATACCCCAACAAGAAAGAGCAATGAATTGATTGGTCGAAGGTCTGACTATATTAATATAGATTGTGGAGTGTTTTTCTCTCCCTCTCTGCATATTTATCCTAGTCAAATGTTGATCGTCATCTGGATAGTGACAGCTGAGTGTTGTAATGGTCACAAAAAAAATCGAAGTATTAGACGTTGAATTGTCGTGTTTGGTATACAAGTACGTATGATTGTGCATTTTTTCAGAAAGTGTATGACATGTCACAAATATTTATGTGTAATAATACTGCAAATGACTGTATGGTTTTTAGGGCTATAGTTGTCTCAGTGTTTATTTCTCGTTTTAGAAGAATGAGAATTCTTTTATAGATGCTCGTATAATGTAGAACAGCCTAGATGCGACTCATTGGATTTCGAGATGAAGTTGGAGTTGGTGATCCGAGTGCTGTTATAGTGTGCAGTTAGCAAGTAGTGATGTTTGTCATCGTAATGCTAGTGGCAGTCTGAGATAACTGAGTGACAAGTTATGATAATGTTGTTGATTGTAAGCAAATGCCTGGTTATTCCTTTTTCTGTTATTGTATTAAATGACAGTACGAATTGTTCAAGATAAGTGGTCCTAAAGGAGCGTCCATAGAATCACATGTCTCTCTGATGACTAGAAAAATGCACAAGCTCGTTGTATCTACTGAGTAGGTGTTCTAGTCAGTGTATCGGTTGATCACCATACAAGCTTTGAAGCATTCTAATCCTTTGATACAATAGATTATTTCTTTGGGTTTGCGTGTGATATAGAGCGTCAATGTGAAGCATACTTTTAAAGAATTATCACTTATCTGTTACTATTAAAGACTTATACTCCGAAAAAGATAAATCGATAAAATATGACCGATATTTTCAATTCATAAAGGTGTGATATCGCGAACGATTTGTTAGTAAAAACATACACTACTAACTAAAAATTAGTAGAGGAAAAGCATTTTAATAAAGAATTTTCACTTCATTCATACAAATAATTATATTTTTACCAAAAAAGATGAAGGACTGTGGAATCGTAACTAGGGTGAATGTTTACATAAATTAAAACTTTGTTAACAGTAAAATACATCCATCAGAAAATACCACAACTAATTATCAAACCATGAAATGAGTGGTTCTAATCCCACCAGATCTCAGGATTACCTGGCTGATAGTATAAACATATTATTTGACATTTTTTATGTTGCTTGATTTATGTTAAGCTGGTGACTAACTGTGACTGGCTGAAATCAATGTTTTTCTAGTTGGCCTAAAAAACCAGAGAGCAGGACAAAACCAAATCACTCTACAAGCACACTTTGCAGCCGGCTTCAACTTCTGAATCATTGCTTTTCCAAACGTGTGTTTATTGACAAAAATATTTGTTTTCATAAACCAACTGTGCTTATACACTTTCAAAAATTTAAAAACCCTATCACAAATCCAACCACACACATACCCAAGTAGTGTGTCCTCGATTATCTGCATAATTTCTTCATTCTCTGTTATTTGAAGAAACGAGGGGAATGTACTCAGAATCCGTAGATCAAGCGCATTAGGCAGTGAATATTGACATTATAGAAGGAAAATGAATCGCGAATACATGCAGATGAATATAAATTCCGTCTAACCACTGTTCGAAACTTTTTGTAAATATTTTCTCAATATTCAAGTTTAGCACTTACAAAACAAGAGTTTTGTGCAGAGAATTCCATATTGCTTTAAAATAAATGGTACTGAATAAAGTGAGCATTGTTGCTAGCTTCATCTCAGTTACAAACTGCTTATAGTATAGGCGTGATTACAGAAATTAGATTATCCTTTTATCATTCCCAAAAAGCATGAACATTGATTAAGTTCGGTAAAGTAAGATCAGAAACTGATCTTACACTTTTTCAAAAGTTAGTGAATAATATTGTAACAAGTTGTGTAAATGTTTATTTAATTGCCTACTCTTATTATCAATGGACAAACTGATTGAAACACTAAATCCGTCATTGAGTGGTTTACGTTGGAACTTTTAACAGAAAATTATATTTACCCAAAATAATAACTAGAAACCTCTGATCTCCGTATCTCACAGATGGACATCAGACTGACGACAAAACAAAAAGTCAAAGTCTTCAAAGTAGAGACTTCACTGTACTGTGACGTTTTGGAAGGAAACAAAATCACTTATTACGTAAAACAAGTATAAAACACTGACCGAATTCACTTCTTAATATATTATCTTGAATATTAACGGATGATTGATACATTCAAGGTATAATCAGTTTGCATTAGATTACTGCCCTTAAATATCTGATGGATGTGAAAGCTCATATCATTTCACTCAGTAAAGTTAGAGTAAGATAATCACCTGATATCTTCACGATTCATTCCATCTAGAGTTTTGAAAATATAACATTCTAATGAATATATTAGGATTAATCCGCAGTGTGTAAAACCTATTATCCATTTAACTGACGAAGTATAATATGATAAATTTAATAACCTTTTGTAGTTTTTAATTGTAACCATTTTTTGTCGTTGATTGCTACTCGACTTTTGACAAAACCAGTCGTTTTTTTCAGGACCCATCAAATAAGTGTGTTTATAATTAAATTTAATAGTCATTTTCTCTTTACATCGTGCCAAATCTATTATTTTTAGTCCATCTTCTTTGATCAATCGATAATTCGGATAAAACTGATTAATTATTTGCATGGTTTTGAGTTATCATATTGATATCCAGAAGCGAATTTTGATCAGTATAAATTAACATGCATAAACTCTATAAGGATTGTCTTGATAAAGTCATTATATTTCAAGTGACAAACAACATATGGATTGGGGTTAGCAGTGGAATCCAGGGCGCAGAAGAATTAGTCGAAATTTAATCTTGAATATCAACAATGGGATAACCCACACTTATATTGATGATGCAAACATCACGCAAGTCGAAAGGATTATTGGGTGTCTGGATTCAGCAGCTCAATGGATAATGGGTCCGAGTCCCAGTGCGAACACCAAAACGAATGGAAGCAAGCCCAGATGACAAATCTCAAATACCACGAAACCCGTGTACGGGATTCCATAAAAATAAAGTAGTTTTCGAGACGATAATCCTGATTTCTAAGAGAGTAACTAATGTCATGTTATTCTAGTCCTCAATGCTGACTGGATTCTGGTGATTAAGTTCTAATGTAGTACCAGCTTTAAAAATGTCGACATACCTCAACCTGAACAGCTAAATAAATAAATCTCTGTGACATTATCAAACCCTGGTTCCAATCCCATGGAGGACAATAATTTGCTGAATATTACAGATAAAACTTGCTGACGACCGATAATTGGCAATAAACTTAAAATAAGGGCTTCTTTATGGCTGACACCAAACCCCTAATATTCCATAAAAAAAACAACCCACAACTCTCCAGTATCGAGGAACAACATTTCATACATTTACACTAACATTTTCTTTTCAATACACACCTAAAATAGTTTTATTTCGTTAATAATTGAAATTGTCAATCACATAAATATGTAAGATGCTAATAAAATTCATTAATTCTTTATATTCTAGATTTAAATGTAAAATACGTGTTATTCACATTGCCAAAAAGGATAATGCAATGCATTCGATCATTGTTTTAGTATTTTCACAATTTAACTATTCAATAGAAACCAATCGATTGTTGTTGTTTTTTTACAAATAACACAGTTTCATTTAGAATGTTTACAATAAACACAGAAATTAATAAGCAATATTTAGTGTTATTTGAAGCATTTTTCGGTTCTGTATTAGGAAGGAATTACTTAAATCGACTTTGTTTTTAGGAAAAATGGTGTACACACTATTTCAATTTGTGATGTTCTTTTATGTAAATGAGTATATTAACTTGGGAATTGGTCATTTCTCCAATACCAAACACATAAATTATTTACTTATTTTAAACCGGACAATAAAAATCTCTCAGTCAAAAAACGAGAAGATAAATTGTAAACGAAATGTTTAAATGTTGGAAACTATTTTCATTCGATATAAGGCATTCATTCAACATAAGAAATAATATTATTAATAAGATAAAAGCTAATGAAATTCATGACAACAAACGAACAAGAAAATTATAGAGAGTTAATCATTTGTTTCATAGCAACCTCATAAACTGTACTATCATCTTCATCACTATCCTCGTCAGAATGATTGCCACTAATTGTATCACTATTACTGCTATCATCAGAGGGATTAGGAATATTGTATAAAAATGAATCTTCGTTGACATTAACACTACTCAAGCATTCATCAATACCTGGCAAATGAATTGAACTAGAATCTTCATCAAGAAAATGAAATCGTCCCGACTGAATAGATGATAATGAAGATGACTCATGTTGTATAGAATCTTTATTTGGTAAAGATACAGGTGGAAGAACATAATCATTAGAATTAGTATCAGGACAACAATCAGATGATATCATTAAAATTTCTCGAAGACCAGCATTTTCAGATCTTAATCGATGTAATTCTTCTTCTAATTCTGCAGCATACGCATCACCACGATCAGTAACGTCACGGACAATAGAAGCTACCGTAGTAAATTGTTCAGTTAATGATTGAGTTATATTATCTGTTATCTCGTCAACTTTACCGGAATTTGATTTCTGTGATGCAGATTGCGAATCAATGGAATTAGTTGAACGTGTATTAACTAATTTCGGATCCGGGTATGAAGATTTTATACACCGATTTTCGCTGTTATCAGGATTTATAACTGATTGAACAAGATGTTCTACTTGATAGGTTCTCATTAGTTTAGAAATCTGGAAAGATCAAATGCAACAAATAAGTGATTTATGCGACGGAGGTAAAATGAAGCAATGGTTATTAAAGATTATGTTCTAAACAACTCCAGTCTTAAGTACGACTACATAAAATATTAATATGGAAGTACGGAATGTTGTTACATCAAACTAAACGAGAAACGAAATAGCTGTTTCATGAATATTATGCAAAACATTCAAGGATATACAGAATAGTATATGGAAACTTCAAGAAAATTACAATCTTATAAATAAAACTAACTTGTCCACGATATTTAGTCATAATCATATCTAAAGCAGTTTGATGTTCATCAAGGGAATTTCTCAATGTTTTATTTTCAATTTTCAACTGTTCTAGTTGTTTGTTCTCAGCTGCAAGACAGATAATCAGTGGACCTTTTGGTTGATTAGAGACCCGTTTAGAGAATTCATCAAACTCAAGAATTGTTTCTTGACACTAAAGAAAAGAGAAATAATATGACAAAAATAATGGTGATAACCGAGAACACGGTTACACAAACTGTAGCATTCAGTAGAAAAATAGTGACAATGTTTTCCAATGATGTACTGATTGATATTTCGAAAGGCATAACTAAAGAAGATCACACTTCAATTTCAACCCATATTTAATCATCCTGAGCTATAAAACCTCTTAATACTGGCAAAGTCTGAATCGTATAGAGCTTATATGATAAACTAAAACCACAATCATGATCCGTACGCCTCTGAGGAAAACAACTAATCCTAGGAAAAGATATGCATCAGAGAGCAACAAAAAATCAAAACAGCATTGGATAGTAAGGTACAGTTTCTCTAACTCTTTAACTTACTTTAAAAGTAAATAATATAATAGAAAAACAGGGTAATTATGATGATACTACAAACTTTTAAACAATAATATGAGTAGTTGAATACTACTTACAAAATAGTGTTTAAAACTATAGTTTTACTTAGGAATTAATAACAATACATATCAATTATACAAACCTATTCTCATCGCTTTGATTGAACAGAACAATACACTTTTACATAACAATAATGTGAAATAAGCTAATTTTAAATCAATAAATTCGTTAATCACCTGTCGCATACTCAGTAACTGTGCTTGTAATTTGCATAGCTGTTGTCTTAATATATCAACCGACTCTTCACGTGCACGCAATCGAGATACAAGTAGTTGAGCATCATCCATAACTTTATCGAAGCTGTACTTTAACATGAAATCAAAACTCTAAAATAATAATAATAATAATAGCAATTGAAATTCAGTAATAAATATTTGCTTTAATAAGATGTTTATTTATTTATTTATTTGAACACATAGATAATGGTACAAAGGGGCACCAGATATATATGCGCACACAAATCTAATTTGATTTGTGTAAGGGATTTGATACTGTCCGGGTGCCCAAATCAAAGCAGGTTCGGGAAAATTTACATCCCAAAGAATACAACCGTGAAAAATAACAGTTCATTTAATAAATTGAAGTGAATAGAAATATCTGACAATTAAAAATGTCACTAAAACAATTTTTGGAAAAATTAAAATTTACAATGTTAATTCAATTTCATAATAAACCATAATATTGATGGTTTGGTAAATACAAACCAATCCCTTAACTAATCAGTTTTATTCTCAGAACATTCCATATTATTTCCCTTTGACGAATATTTAGAATAATGTATATGGTAAGAATTATGTACTTAAAAACTAAATATTAAATGACTGAAATGATTTGCATACTGTATAATTCAGAGACAGTTAGCTTGAGACAAGTAAAATCTATGAATTAGTGATAGACTTAAAACATCAATAGACAACAGCAAATTATCATATATATTTAACAGATCATTAATTATTTCTCTTATGCAGCTTTTCAAAATCAAAATTGATATTCACTAGAAATAATGAGGATACAGATCGAGAATATAAGTAGAGTTAGTTTATAATGCTAATGCTGTCTCCTTTATAATTTGCACTTTAAGATCCATAATACAAGCTTAGAGTCAATAAATACAATAGATTTGTATACACTATTGATTACGATACATAACAATAAAGTGAATTATGAAGCAGAGATAATGGATTAAACTTACGAATTTTCAAGAGAATAAATTAGGTTATGAAAAAAAAATACACGAACATTGAAAAACAGGATAACAAATTTGATCTAGTTAGTTATCTCTTCAATATTCGACATCAATCTTTTTATGAACATTTAAACATTGAAACTTATATTTTCAAACTAAATGAAGTAATCAAATTTTTACTATCAAACTCTCGATCTAAAACAAAACTCTTTACCTATTTGAGAAAGTAAATGGTATTTCTAACCCTTACATAATTAAAGTACAAATCAAACATCAGTGATTATTATATTTTCCAACTTTAATAAGTACGTGATGAGAATATTGGTCCCTACTAACTTTTACTGAAATCTTGAGTTGTATATTTTAAATAAACAAACAGACAATAAGTCCCTTATAAAATAAACACTAACAATCCATAAACATATCATACATAGACATGACTTTCAAGGCAAAAAAGGACCGATATACATATATGAAGTGAAAAATAAATACGACAACAAGTAAGAAGATAATTTATTATCAAAATATTATATTTATTTAAAAAATTGCATGTTAATCCATGTAATATGTATAATTATGTACAGAAAGCATTTTTTCTCAGATATATATATATATATCGTATTATAGGTAAAAAGAATGTTGTTGAGATTCTTTTCTTGGAATTTTCATCATAGAATAGCAAATTGTTGATAGAGAATTCGTCGAACTTCAAAGTATGTACCACATAACAAACCTTCCAGTAATAATTTACCTGCTTCAGATCGTTTAATTGCAACACAATTATCTACTACTAATATACCACTAACAAATTCTGCCATTAAACCTTGGGATAATAAAAGTTGTTTTAACTAGAAATAAAAACAGGATAAATTAAATTAAATACAAAGTAACTAGAACGCACAAATTTTTTTATTGATTTATCATTAATTAAAAGTTCATTACTACATAGTTACGTCTATTCATTCAATTAATGAACAGATGAACAATCATAACATGTAAATTTACAGTTGCCCATATAACTCAGACAGGAGACGAAGTCAATAAATTCATTGATAAATGCTCATTAATATCATTAGATTAATTTACAAGTGTACTTGTTTCGGTTAACCTCTATTACTGCATAAACCGATCCCAAATTTCAAGATATTTAGCTTTTTTTAGAAATGTTGACCATTTTAGATAAATTATAGACCAGTACAATCGTTTATGAAACTTTTTTAGAGGATAACATTTCGAAAATGACAGAGTCCAATTATAGGTAAAGAATGCATCTTTTTTAGTGTTTGGTTCTATATCGGTTGGACAGTTTGTTATTCCACGCAACATTTGCAAAACTTTAAACAGTGATGGAATTTTCGGTTTCGCTACAAATGCATAATCACTTCATTCTGACAAGTGTTTTTGATCGGTTCTCTTTAGCATACCTATCGACTGTTACTTTAAATTGATTACTGACTAGATGACTGATTGACTTCTACCATTCCTATAAGTTCCCTAGAATTTACTCTTGGAGTCCATGATTGGACAGATGTAAACAATATTTAATCAGTATACTTTAAATCGGTAAAAAACTAGTTCATAAATCAGCAATTTACAGAAATTACTCAGTGAAATATAGCAGTACATCATAAAAAACAAAATGATTACAAAACTATTGAAATAATACATTACACATACATCGGATAACTTTGGTTCATTTACAAAAACCGTTTTATGTTGTCCAATAGGGCCAGTAGGAAGACTGAGAACTGGTAACTGATCAGCAGCTAATGGTGTTCGACTTCTCAATTCTAAATTATTCCCAGTGGACATTTCCACATCACCATTATCATCATTACCATTATTTTCAACATTATTATTGTTGCTTTTTTCTTTAATATGACAATCAAATTTATCATCGAGTGATACAGTTGCTTCAACCCAAGCTAATTCATAATCACGTATTTTTGTGAATTTTAAACTAGAAACTAAACTGTCTTTCATTCTTGCCTATGAAATACCGATAATAGGTGTATACAAAAAGAAAAATAAAGATTGAATAAAATTTAACATGAAAAGAAATTATCTTCAGTCATACTGAAATTATGATAAATTTGCGAAGTAGTTTAATTTATTCGACACAAAAACTAATACCATGAATAAACTTCAGTAAAATGTTTTCGTTTTGGGGATGTTAAATACTCAAAGTATGATTTAGGAAGAATAAATCAAGTGAAAGATTTTGTATTGATTCAGGTTCTTTTTATTCAGTAGATTTTTGTATTAAATCGCGCCCAAACGCCCTGATACGGCCGAGAGTGGGGTGGGCTCGCGCTCCCTCTCGAAATGCTCTAACACGACCACGCGTATATAGCCTCTGCCAGGAAAGTCCTACTCACTCCATTCTCTCACCAGGGTGTTGTTTACAAAATTGAGAGGACGAAAAGAGGATGTCCGGCGCTTTAACCGGATCCCAAACCCATGGTGCACATGGGCTCCAGTATCCTGAAGGAACAAATGGCGTATGAACCAATCGTTGGTCACCGGTTACCATGGGAGTGCATCTTCTTACAATGCTCCACTGCCTTGTGGATCAGACGTTCAGGTCGAAGGCTCGAGGTGTGGCCCTATAAGAAAACCACCCGCATCGGTTTGGGCACCCGGGCAGTATCACAGCCCTTACACATATCAAATGAGATCTGTGTGGCGCATATGTACTTGGTGCCTCCTTGTACCAATATCTATGTGTTAAAATAATAATAATAATAATTTTGTATTAAATCAGCCCGCATTCTACTAAAACTATAAGGGTTATTTACTTTTAATATCACATAACAATGATAACAAGAACCATAAAATATATCATTTAGCACACCTGATAAATATCTCCTTCTTTTGTACAATTCACAATTTCTCGTGGATGAGGAATATGTATGTAGTTGGGATCTAACAGCATGACACCACGACAATAATTTGCTAAATGATCAATAGCTGGTGCATTGTTACCAACTAAAATTATTTCCTGTGGTCTTAGACCAATTAGAATACGTTTCATAGCTTCCCCATCTGATCGACCCTTTAAAAATGAACAGAAAAAAGTGGTAAATATCAAAAATAATTTTAAAATACTACTAATGATATCATAAATGGTTTAGTTGGCATTTATTATATTTTTTTAACATAAATACGAACTGCACCAGTATATTTTTAAACACAAATCTTGGCATGTATATAAATTGGATAGAAATATTAGCTAATATTCCGTTGATGATAAGGGTTTAAGTGATTTAGTAGACAAAATAAAGTTATGGTAAAATAAAGTAAGGAATATAATTTATTTCTTACCTTAACTTAATGTGATTAAATATATTTTTGTTAAAAATCAAAATTACAAAATCCTTGAGTCCATAAACTTAATTCTTCCACCTAACCTGCAAAGATCCTCAAAAATAGGAATCTTTCATAGTTCCGTATCAACAGACAGTAAACTAAAATACTCCGATCTTAAACAAACTATGGAGAATATTAGCTAATTGAGTCATTGACCATGAAAGAAAAAGTGCAAACTCATAAATTACGATGTGGAGGAATTAATCACAGTTGTATCAGATTTCAGGTGAAGTTATTTTAAACTAAGTTGCATTCAAGAATTTATTGCTCAATGTTATTTAACAAAATGTAGTTATCTTTAAAAATCGATTTGTCTCTTAATCACTTAGTAATAGACTCAAGTATTCTATACACTTGTTGGAAAGTGAACAGGTATTGTTGAAACTAATACAATAGGTTCACACTAAAACAAGCATTTAATTATTCGTTAATATATATATATATATATATATATATATATATATATATATATATATATATATATATATATATATATATATAATACACACAAAAAGTAACGTGAAGTGACTTATTGTCAACTATTAAAAAAACACAATCTAATGTCTAGCCAATGTCAAATAAACAGTAATGGTAATAACTGATGAATTTGACGTTTATACGAACAACTTTAAACGATAACTGGTACTGCAAAAAACAATAAGGAATTTTGACTTTTTTCTGAAAATCACAAATATAAGAACATGAATAGATAAAGCCATCAACTAATGACAAAACTTCCAGTATATTTCCAATGAATTCTTAATATTATACAGAAAAAATTTTTTCAGTGTAAGTCAATTTTGACCTAAGAACTACAAATCAAATGTTTACCAAACACTACATATTTCACATAACCAATAAATAAATAGGTTAAGAAAAATAACTAAATTTCGAATTCAAATTGACATAGTAAGATAATTAACTGAATAGATGAAAAATAGGATAAGGAAATGTAAAATTCTCATAGATATATTAAATATTCATTAGTAACATTTCGACAGAACGCGAATGAAACTATTACGACCGATGTAATTATGAGCTAATCACCTAAACTTTCTAACTAAACGTATCCTACATCTAAATACTTGTTTGACATTTCTTTAAGTTATAATGAATATATAGCTTCCTTATTTAAACCGTCATGAAGATTCAACTAAGCAATTATTTTGGCAATCTCCTCTAGATGGTTTACATATACTAACTGACTGATTAACTTAATTTTCTAAATCTGCCAAAAATACATAGAACATATTAATGTGTAAACAATATCAACCCACCATTTTTATGAAAGTCTTACAGGTATGAAGTGGAAATATGCTCTACATAATTGATTATTGATAAGCATGCAGATGGGTTACATCTAAGCACGAGACTTAAAGGATATTTCAGCAATCATCAAACTATTAAGATCAATGAGATCAACAAGAGAGATAAAGCGATAAGCAAATTGTATACTCAACTAGCTTTAGTCAAAATAAGTTAAATACATAAGAATTAGTAAGTATGCATTTGCAGATGACAATTTAGTACATAACAGTAACGATTGGAGTAAATGTACTCAGTAAACATGTGGTACACACTAAAACAAGATCCTTTAACTAGTAAAATCAAATACTACTTGTGGGTTAGGGAGTATACTTTAATACAAAGCCTCTTCAAAGCACTTTACAAATAGACTAACTTCATAATCCAGAAACACAACTTCACACCGTAGAGGTATTTCCAAATGATGAGTTACACAACGAGTATTAGAATCCAGAACGTCAAAAGTTGGAGTTCTTGCAACCAAATAATCCAGTATTGATGTAGATGAAAAACCCGATGAGACAATATCTGAATTAGTTTTCGTGTCTACAAGTGATAAAATGAATTATATTTAACAACGAAAAAATAATCTGGAAATGACTATTTTATTTGACTAAATAGTAGTGAAAAAACCCGGTACATTATCTTGTGATTTTAGAATATAAGAACTCAGTATTTCTTAAGAAATATGATTACCATTAAATTTCTAGGTCTTTTTTCTGTAGGAGTTGGAGAAAATTATATTGAACTTAGTTAAGATGACTTAAGAAATGGTACAATATACGGGCACTACCAAGGAAACAACAAATTAAACACTTTAGTATAATGTTGGGGACTACTCAAGTTGAAAAGATATATTGGTTTAGCCGGTCTGTTTTTGCTCTGGTTAGTTAACTTTAATAGTCGCAGACTAGGGAGCCATTAGTGAACCACATTCGACTATATAAAATTAAATCGATTCTCAAGTGGTTATATAGTATATATATATATAAAAGCAATAAACTGTATGCCTGAAGCTGAGTCCAAAATAATCAAAGGTAAATAAAAGAGTCTATGATCAACAGATGAGCACTAACATTACGCTAAAGAAATTATCAAAGTGAAACATGAAAATATAGGAACGTTAATCGAAATAGCAATTTACGGAATCAATTAATGGTTAATTTTAATCTTATAAAGAAAAACAAACCTTTACTTTTGATATCCCAATTCGGCAATGCTGCCTGAGTAGAAACTGGTTCTGTTGAAGTGAACAACTCTGGATCAAGATGTGCTCCATACTCATCCCAGTGAATCTGTTAATAAAATACAGTTATTTCCTTTTAGAAACCAGACAAAACTATCTCAAAAAATTGCGATAACTTTAGTTCTAAGAACTGGTCGAGCATACACTTAACCACCCAAATCGATGGTTTTCAATCATAAAAACTAGTCTCAAACTTGCTGCCGGATATATTCGCATAAGTTTGATGCCTACTCGATTTCGTTAGCATAAATTATGCAGAGCAGCATACCTAAGAAACTAACACTATGATCCGTGATGTTATGGAGTATTATTTTATTATTTTATTTATTTTAACACATAAGTATAGGTACAGGGAAGCACCAAGTACATATGCGCCACACGAATCTCAATTGATTCGTGTGAGGGCTGTGATACTGCCCGGGTGCCCAAACCGAAGCAGGGTTATGGAGTATTAGGGACCTCATAAAAATGATGGCTCCGTTTTGTGCTCAGAAAGTGAACTATGGGTCTGAGATCACTTAATTTACCAGATTTAATCATGTGTAAACAATAAATATACAAACTTACGGACGGATTCTACTAATTTTTACATGGAGCCACCAAACCCTGTAATTTTGAGCTTTTTTAAAGGAACAAGACACAGTTAGAGTACAATGCCCGACAAAAACTCAAAAACTGGTACTTCAAATCTATTCATCACCTCCAATAGTCTGAAATAAGTTTCATAAATACACCTTGTGTATACTTAAACTTCAACAAAAATGAAAATTTCCCAGTTAACTGACAACGACAACTAACTGATTGTTTTAGGCATTTTAATTGTTTATTGTAAATAACGTTCATAAGTTTGAATCAGATATTTAATGATATCATCTACAAACAGTATTGGGGTTTGTGGAGATGACTGAATGTTGAAGCCACGAACCGGCCTAAATTAGATAACCTCTGAAGACCTGAAAGCACCGCACAGTTACTTTGTCCTAGTATGACACTCCTCAGTAATGCGCGTCCACAAATCCACCAAGGATCTAACATAATTTAGTTCGTGATCTCAGTAACATGCAATAACCTCCGTAAACCGCATATTATTGATCATCATGTGGTTACTGCTAACTTTGAGAGTAAATTTCTGGAATTATATTGGGAAGCCAGTGAAATTCAACCAAATGGAGTGTGAGGCACGTATTTACTGAACACTAAGAAAGATGGCCACACTTTTATGTACTAACTAAATCTAGGCATATAGACAACGAGATTCCGGCCCAGTAATTTAAGGGTTACGCGTTTACGTGAGAGATCTTAGGCGCTGAGTTCGATCCCCGGTTGAGTTGTAAGTGCATACCCCCTATACTAGAACGAAACAGTTGTTCAGTGCCTACAGGTCTTTAGTGATTGTCTAACATAGGTCGATTCGTGATTTCAATAATATTAATAACAACAACCAGTTACACAGAAATTTGAGTGGTAGTCAAGTAGGTGATATCTTGCGAAACGATTTTACCTGAACTGATTATAACTTACCTTCTTTTCATTTTGAGGAAACAGCAACTGAGTCCGTTTAGCCACACGGAAAAACTGCCCTCCAGCTTGGTTATGAAGCCCTGGATATATGTCATATCCAGCTTGATGCCGTCCAGAAGTTAAGTGAAGATTTGTAACTCCAAATTGTTCCATATTTAAAGGTATAGAAGTCTTAGGAAATAACCTAGTTGTATTGCTTGGAACAATCGTTTTCTTCGAATGATCTCTTGGTACGGACAACGTAAGAGAGAGTGATTTTGATTTTTCTACGTGCGTACCTTCCTCTGAACCATATGGACGATTCGATCCACATGTTGATTCATTTTCCAATTCAGAATTACAAGATGATTGTTTCTCAAGGATTCCTTCAGTAACTTGTGGTGAAACATCACTATGAGTAATATCACTCACTGATGGCATCGGGATGTCTGAAATTTCACACATTGTTATATGAAACAATTAATGGATCTTACGTGCTATTGAGTACAATAAAATGACGCTTATTGAGTAAAAAAACAAGTTAAGATTCGAAAATTCAAATGATTTACCTAATACAATAAGTTATAATCTATTAAAAGTGGTTTGTACATGCGTTAGGATATATCAGTACGATGGTTGATTTTAACTTGTATTTCTGCTTTATGTATCAATATCGCTGGCTATTTTGATAATTGCAAAATTTATTGAGCAAAATCTATTTGAAGTTTAGTGAATGTGTTAGAAATCATATTGTTTTTCACTATACTTGGCGTATCTCCAATCTTCGTATAATCTGATACTCCCAGAGCTTAACTGAAATCAATCATAGTGGGAACGATGTGCAACTTGACATAAAAGGATATTTTACTCCAAATGGAAAAATATTCATTTGGGCCTCTCACTAACCCTAGTGAGTTGATGACTACCGAAATTCCAAGACGAATACTCAAATCTCGCTTGGCCTTAATTCCTGTGCCACCTGTAGCTTAGTTAAGATCTCCATCTCCCGACTGAAGTGGTTATTGTGATACAGTTCGCTTTGTATTACCGTACGGATATGAAACATAACTTATGTACGCGTGTATGCCTTTGAGACATTGTTTCAGTACCAGTCAACAACCAACGTGGAAATGTCAAAGTTAAGCGAAGGGTACTAAGTGAAAACAAAACGTCGATTGATAATGCTATAAGCCATCAATCAAGGACGTTATTAAATGTCACACACCAGACTATTTCCTACTCCCGAGTACAATGTTGGCTGATGCAGACATGAGTTGGATAAAACCAGTGTGATTAAGTCAAAATATCCCATTACACTAAGTCATTGACAGGCGATTTGAGTCATGCAGATAGATGCAGACGTCTTGGTTGGGTCTTATTTAATACTCATAATAATAGGTGACACGAGTCAAAATCGGTCATATTAAGGCAGATGAATCCATTCCATATTTTCCTCTAAATCCTGACTTAAATACTAATCTTTTATCTTATTTTCACCCTTTGAACGGTATCTCTAACAGTGCAGTCGAAAATGATTTCTTCATAGTGTGTGTGTGTGTGTTGATGTGGGATGCTGTAACGTGGACTAATCTAGTCATGTCGTCTTTTGTTGATGATGACTGAATAACAACGGTTTATGCCAATCTGGGCCATCTTTGGCGCCTTCGTGATGTCAGTCTGGCTGTAAAAGGTCGGATCTACAACGCGTCGATGAGAGCAGTTTTGCTCTATGCTTGTGAAACCTGGCCTCTCCGAGTTGAGGATGTTAGACGACTCTCTGTATTTGACCATCGTTGTCTCCGAAGTATTGCTGACATCCAGTGGCAACACCATGTTAGTAATGCAGAGGTTCGGCATCGTGTGCTTGCGCGCAGAGACGATAATCCAATTGGTGTCATCATCTTGAGGCATCAACTTCGGTGGCCTGGATATGTTTTACGAACGTCATCCCAGAAAATTTCACGTCTTGCATTATTTACAGACGCCGGGACTGGTTGGAAAAACAGGAGAGGTGGTCAGTGTATGACATGGTGTCGTGGTATGAAAGAAAGCTGCAAAGGGCAGGCTTCTGTTGGTCCTTCACAACTCTCTGGCTGGGGTCCGAGAGACGGTGCAATACAGTGACAAGAGACGTTATCAGATATGGCTCAGAATAGAAGCCAATGGCGATCCTGCTGTAATCTTTTATTTTCTTCATAAAAAGTGGTTGTAACTTCTTAAACTGAAATTATTCTTCTGGTTGTACATTTCGGTTTCCCCTATTATTATTATTATTATTATTATTATTATTATTATTATTACACTACCATACACTAAGCTGTTGGAATGCGCTTCTCTCCCTCTAAATGCAAGTTGTTGCTTCAGGACTGGTCTGCGTCAACACCTGAACTAAGGATAGGGAGTGAAGTAGTCGAACGTGTCAACAACATTTATCTTGGAATTTTGATCAACCCGAATGGGTTGGTGTCTGACGAAATCTCAGTACGGATTCAGAAAGCTCACTCGGCTTTTGCCAACTTACGTCACCTATGGAGAAGGCGAGATATTCGTCTATCAGTTCGTTCCGTTCTACTATACGGCTGCGAAACATGGCCTTTAAGAGTGGAAGATACTCGTAAGTTACTAGTATTTGACCACAAATGCATTAGAAATATTGCTCGCATCTGCTGGGATCACCGGGTAGGTAATAGTGAGGTTAGACGCAGGGTATTAGGGAATGATGGTAAATCAGTTGATGAGGTTATGAACCTTCATCGACCGAGATGTTTGGGCCACATGTTGCGTACGCCTGAACACCGATTACCACGACGCGCAATGCTAACCGGTGTTAGGGATAATTGGAAGAAAGTTAGGGGCGGCCAAACCAAAACATGGCATCAGTGCTTGGAGTCATTAACTTCTGGTCTGAGCCATGTTGGTAGACGCACACCACCTGGTTGGGGTCCGCATGACTATCGTAACCAATGATTGGAGACTCTTGGTGACAGGGCTCAGAATCGATCACAATGGCGTCGGTGTATACACTCTGTCTTTCTTTAAACTAAGAGATTAAAATCGCTTCATATTTTTCTTTCTATGAACCAATTCTTTCTTCCTGTACTATCTACTTATATGCAATCTCTCTTCTATATATTACTACCACTGAATTAACTACTTCTATGAATCCGGTGTTCATCTTGTTGTGCTAATGCGGTATGGTAACTTGGACCGATGCATATGTGTGCCTGGTCCTACGTTGCAGCTGACTGACTGACTGAATAACCAAGATAAAAATTGTTATAAAAGCAACTACGAAGTGCTTACACATGGTCGTACACGCAATGATCCATGTCAGTACAGTCTTAGTGGCTGATTTCATGTAACAAAGATAGCACTACTGTTTATGTGAAGAACTGCGGCAACATTCCAGTGCCTTTTGTTGAGTTATATCTAATGCTGTTTTAACCCACTAAGTTGATTAAAGTACTTTGACATACATATAATGTTTATTTTATGGATTGCTTTACAGAGTAGGGGATGTATTAACTAGAAAATGTATAGAAAACATACCTGTATAGCAGGCACTTATGTTTCCAGGTTCTGTTTCAGAATTGAGCTCGTCGCATGCATCACTAATCGTTGAGTTTGTGTTTTGAGGGAAGGAAAACCCTTTAGCTGAGTTTTTCAAGTGTGGAATATCGGACCCAGATCGGTCTGCTTGTGAACACGATACTCGTTGTGATAATGTTAGAGGAAGGATTGAAGTCCCAGTTGAACTCGTAGGCAGATCTTTTCGTGCATCATTATCTTTTCTTGCTAACCCGATAAGTCGAGATATTAAACTCTGACTGGACGACTCATCAACTCCAGTGATAACAGATTCTTGGGACGTTAGAATTACTGTGTTTAGGTCGTTATCGGCCCACTCAGCGAACAACTGACGAGAAAATCCACAACTAAGATCGGAAAGTGATGAAAGAACAACCTGAAATAACAAGTAAAAATGAATAGCTCACTTTAGGCTCTGAAACAGCATCTAACTGTTCTAACGTGTGACACAACTGCATGTGTCGGAAATGAAACGGATTACTTCGTTGATCCTCAAAAGATCGCATTACTTTTTCGGACATCCACTCAACCATTGACTTTGCAAAGTCCACAACATTTAAAGCCACATAATTTAGCATCGCCAATCCATAAGCCATTAGACCAGATTCCTAGCCAAAAAAGAATGCATAATGCAGTATAATAATAACAATAATTCATCCGACGAAAAATCAGAATCTCGTATAAATAGTAACACTTGTTTTAATAAATTCCTAGGCATAACGATAGAAAGAGTATTAGTAAAAATATGAGTTTCATGATTTGTGACTAAAACCATTAGTTTAAGCTCCAAAACCGACGAGCTGAGGTGATTTAAACTTGTCCGAAAATGGTTTGAAACAAACGATAAATCAAGGTACTTTTTTCAGGCCACACAAAACCATAAACCGAATCCAATGGGTTTCGAAGCTATTTTAAACCAGTCAATCTGTTGCAGTGAAGACGCTATTGACGAAACTAATGCTTAGTCAGACACTACGTCAAACAAACGGATGCAACCAGATGGAAACAAAACAATCAACTGGAAGCTGTGATATGAAACAAGGCAGAATTAAAATGTATGCATCACGCAAACACTGTACTTAGGGATAGCTCACAACACTAATAAAGTGTGCTCTGCATACACAGTTCGTCCAGGAGGAAATATGTAGCAAAATTTGACACGGTGGTTTATTAATCCGCAAGTGTAACATGGGAGTGCAGTACAGCTACTAGTCACTTTTGACATCAAAATGTGGAAAATATATTAGTTTGGCATACGATCAGGATAACTAGGTCAGAAACAGAATATTTTAAACCAAAAATGTGATAGCCCCTAAAACTAGAACTAACCTGGTTTAACCAACATTGTTCTAAAAAATGGGCTACTTCAAGACACCTTCCAGCAGTATCCACGGCAATAAGTACATTTCCACCACGCCTTAAACTTTTCAAAATTGTCTGACGTAGATTTTCATCACGATCTTTTCTCCTGGGCTAAAAAAAAACTCATCGAGAGTGAGAAAACATACCTGTGTATATAAGGTGTTCGAACCATCCATAATTAGTAAGTGTGGTCGTATGCAAGCATCAAAGGTAGCTCCATTTAAGTGTCTCTCCTTTTTATGGTTAAAATCCAAAGCATAAACGATACTTGTGTCTTCTTTAACTAGTTTCCAAATTGTTCCTCCAAGTGTGTGACCTGTCAGAAAATAATTTTTGTACAAGTTACATACCAGAAGGAAGTGGGGTTATACATAAACCATGGCCACGACCATGAAGACTGATTGTTTGCTGATACTTAACTTGATGCACGTGATCGAAAGCTAGATCAACATCATCTAACGTGTAGTGACTAAAGTTCTCAGAAGCATGTCTTGACTGGAAAAAGTCATACAAAAACATTTGCCCCATTTTGTAAACAGGAGTCGTGGCATACACCGGACAGTTAAGTCCACATGCCCCAACAAGATATGGAAGCAACCCAAGGTGTCGTAAACTTTGATGACTAAGGAGCACGGCATCAACATGTTTGGCCCACTTTGAAACCTCTTTCACATAGTCACTATCCAGTTTCTCACACCAACCACAGTCAAGGAGGCAGTGAAACTCATCTACCTGGAAATCATATATCATTTGTTGTAATAAGTTACCTGAAGTAAATAACAAGGTGAACCGTTATCACCAGCCCCCGAAAGCGTGTGCAACTTGATTATAGAAGTCGCCATCCTAAGGAAAGAACGACCTTGAGTTCATATGAATCCGTCCTAAGGAATATTCAATACCTAATCATTCAAATAAATTAAAATGAACGAGCCACTGTGTCTAATAAGAATTAATCGGTGGCATATCGAGGATTTTTAACGGTCTTAGGCTTTTGCTAGCATCCATAGTACAGTTTACGTCAATACAGTCATGAAAAATTCATGCAAACGACCTGGATGCCGTTTGCTGTTACATATGGCATGCAGTGCGACAGAGGCAAAGGTTGGTTCAGTGAGGCGGGCACATATCTCGCGGCAACTGCTTACAACAGACTCAGCAAGTCGGATCATAAGTGGGTATTTGTTACGTGCAGCACGGATGCTGTAGTATTGCTGAGTAACATCATTGTCCTATTGACAGGTCTGCGGAATAAGTTGTCAGCAAACTTGGAAAAAGATAGTCATAAAACAGGTGGACAAACAATGGCACGTAATGAAAACAAGAATAGGGATGTCGATATGTCTACCATCTATGGAGCATGCACTAGCTCTAATGATGACATGTTGAAATTCAGCACAATCATTACGTCGACGGTAATAGACTCACTCAGTAAACTCGGGTCTCCCAGCTCAGGGTACTTAAATGCAACAGTGGTTCCCAAAAACTCTGCAGGTGGTTGCGCCCACGTTAACAGAGCTAAAAAGGAACAGGCGTCACTGTCTAAGCCAAACATCCCAAGTGTTGTACGGAAGTCAACTGGTGATTTGATTGCTCAGTCTACTCCCAAAAACGTCGACGCGGTTATCAAAAAGCCTAGGATTCAGAAACCTGATTCGACCTACAAACAACAAGGTGCTGAACCTGAACGCACTGGTAAATCTGTGAAAACAATAACGGTCCGTGATGACTCTCTCATAATCATGAATCTCAAAGACAACCCTGACCTTCCTCTCAGTTTGCAGGACAAAAATGACAGGATGCTCTTGGGTGAATTGAACAAAAAGCTCGAACTTCCTAGAATGGAGCCTTTGAAGATCACACGGCTCACTCGGGGAAAGGAATCTAAGCACCAAAATTATTCGAGGCTACTTTGTGTAACACTCAAGAATGCTACAGAAGTAGAGGATGTCCTGCTAGCTAGTCATTTACCGAAATCCGATGGGAACGTAAGAATACTGCTCGACATACCGTATTCTGAGCGCAATCTCATCTGGAACATCCCTAAACAATCTCGAGGAAAGTTTTTCCGCGGAAAAAATATCATTGTGCAAGGTGTACCGGGAAACACGGACCCTGGTCATGCAAACTCAGACATTCGGGAATGGAAATTCATCGAACAGTCCTTGAGGCTCAAAAACATACTGACTCAGCATGTGACGACACTAGCCAAGAAGGACGGCGATTCTAGACCCCGACTAATGAAAATAACTTTCCCATCCTCCCATATGGCGGCTGCAGCTCTGGAAGCATTTCGTGACAACAGACGTCGGTTGCCAACTGGGATCCACATGCACCCGGACAAGCCATATGACGCCAGGATCAAGCACAAACGCAAGCTGGAGCTGACCATTCCATTTGTGGACTGTCTTGAAGATAAAAAACGTGTAAAAAACAGGGCCCACCAATTCGGCAAACCTTATATAGGTAGGCTACCTGTCCACTCACGTAAGGCTCATACAGACAAACAAGAAGAAGCGCACGCGTTTCAAATTGAAAGCGTTAACTGCTTATACATGAACACCGCGAGTCTACCAAACAAAATGGATGAGCTGCGTGAGTTCAGCAATGCTAAAAAGGTTCATCTGATAGGAATATCTGAAACTTGGATATCTTCTCAGTTTTCGGAACAGGAGCTAACAATACCTGGGATGTCTCTGTTTCGCAACGGCAGAAAAACAGGAATTGGGGGTGGAGTAGCCCTATACATACGATCTGGCTTGGAGGTACACCAAGTCCACAATCATAAGTTTAATAATCTGGAGGAATCCATATGATGCTCCGTGATATTGTCCACTACTTCAAAGTGCCTAGTCAGAGTCACACATAGGAAGCTCACTGCCGACATCGAGTATGACAGTCAGATGCTGGAAGGACTATCCCGCTCCTTGCGTCTATGTTTCACTCATATCCTGATTCTAGGGGACTTCAATCTCCCTAGAGTCACCTTACGTATATTGGAGGTGAAAATTTAATTGAAGTTCGGTTCTTCAACCTCATTGAGGATTTGGGATTATACGAAAAGGTGAAGTTGGCTACTCGTTGGCGGAACAGTCAGACACCGTCGCGCTTAGACTGTGTATTTACAAACGAAGAATTTCTTGTTGACAACCTCTCAATTCTGGCTCCCTTGGGGAAAAGCGATCACGCCGTTATAGCCTTCAGTTTTGTCAGCAAAACTGAGCTAAGATATCCTAACAACAACAGGCGCTGGAATTTCAAACGGTTGAATGTGTCAGCTCTACAGGACTATCTACGACAGGTGGATTGGGATTTTCACCCTCAACTTGATGTGGATGCTCATTGGGACTTCTTACTGCACACACACTTATGTGCTGCAAAGCAGTCATTTCCTCAAACGGTCACCAAAAACCACACGTAACCTTCGTTCGTTAAGCCGTAAAAGGCACTGTTGGGCAGAATACAAACGAACTGACAACAACAATGCGTACAGGCAATGCAAACATATAAGGAACATATGTGTTGTATGGGCGAGAATGATTATGATTGGTTGTCTACTTAGTCAGACATGAAGACAGTCTGACAGGTGTCAGATAAGTTGTATATTCCCTTACCCTTATTATTGTGACTCACTCTTATATACATCCTCTTATTATTGATTGTTCATTGTTGTGGTTTGTGTCGGTTTTGGGTGTGAAAATATATTACGTTCTGGTCAGAATGATACGTGTTCTTGATCTGAGTTGTGTTGAAGTCCTGTAGAATAGACACTGGTAGGGATTTAGTGTAGATAATCGTTTAAGCGTACAACATCACACAAAGTAATTCCGAGCGTTATAACAAAATGCACGAAAGCTATAAGAAAGGACAGACTTCAGTACCAGTTAAAACTTATGGATAAATTTATTTTCAATCCGAAAAGCTTGTTCCGTTACGCATCCTCTGTTCGTCAAGCCAAAACCGGAGTTTCCCAACGGTGACGCAGCTAAGCTTCTAGCTGAGCAATACTCCCGAAGATTTCAACCGAGCCACACCAACTATACTGATGAAAGCTTCATCTGCAAATGCACAGGACTTTCCGTAGTGAATGTGAGAGCTGAATTGGTGTTCCGAAAACTGTAGCATCCAAGAACAGACACTTATCCTGGCCCAGATACGGTTCATTCTGCTACATTGAGGGAAGCAGTCTCAATACTGACAACACCGCTTAACGTGATGTTCTCGCACTCGCTAAGCCGAGACAAAATACCGGAAAATTGGAAGCTGGCTCATATCACACCAATTTTCAATGGAGATCAGCGCAGCGAACGTCCAAGCCTACGACCGGTGGCACTTCTCTTTATACCTCCAAAAATCATGGAGTCCCTGATATACGATGGTATATATGACTATTTGCTGTTCTTAAATTTCTACTCACTCCAGCAGCATGGTTTCAGGAAGGGTTACTCCTGTATGACCAACCTGCTGACTGCGGTGGACAGATGGATAAGCATCCTTAACCGCAAGAGGAAAATTGACATCATTTACCTTGATTTCTCTAAAGCTTTTGTTAGGGTTAACCACATATGTCTTATTAACAAGCTCAAACAATTGGATATCAAACGACCTTTAATTGACTAGCTCAGTTCGTATTTGACAAATCCACATTTTAAGGTCATGGTTAACTTCACTTTACCTTAGGCTACGGAATGTCCTAATGGGGTCCCCCGGGGCTCAGTACTAGGACCACTTCTCTTCTTGATTTATATAAATAATCTTCCACAACAGTTAACGTCAGACTTATTACTTTTTGCCGATGACGTGAAACTTTGGAGAGAGATACGCAACCAAGAGGATATACAGGCACTTCAGGAGGATCTGACTCGACTTCAAATTTTGGCAGACGACAACGGACTTACATTTAACGCTTCACAGTGTAAAGTAGTCCATCTGCGACATGTCGCAGACTACCGCTACAACTTAGGAAACTCCTCTATAGTAGTATCCCGAGTCGAAAGAGATTTAGGAGCCCTGGTGCCCTACGACTTAAAGTCCTATGCTAACTGTGATAAAAATGCCTTTCGAGCAAACCTTACACTGGTAACATTGAAGCGCATTTTTGGTCAGTTTGACGGGAGAAGTTTCCACATAACCTTCAGCAGTTTTATTCGTCCCCATTTAGAGTACGGAAACATAGTATTCCCTCCTACACTCCAAAAGGATAAGGGCACTCTGGAGCGTATCCAACGGCGATCCACGACATCAGTTCGAGGACTCAAATTTAAACCTTACGAAGAGCACCTCCAATCACTTGACCTTTACCCAGTAGAGTATAGGCATCTTAGAGGTGACCTTCTGATGGCTTACAGTATCCTTAACACTTCTGGACATCCTCTTAGACACCTACTCAAGCTTAGTCCAAATACTAACCTAAGGGATAACACCCAGAAATTCGGGATACAACATAGCAGAACGGACTGCAGGCACAACTTCTACTCCTTAAGAGTTGTCAAATGCTAGAATTCGCTGCCGGCTGAGCTAGTTCAAGTGACTTCCCAGGAGTCCTTTAAGAGGTGACTTGATCTATTCTTAAGGAATAAGGATAGTATCTTACTATGATTTACCGATTTCTTTTCTCTTTTATTGTTAATATACCTAGGTTTTTGTCTGGAAGTATTGGGGCTCCCCTGCTACTAGACACGGAAGCCTGTTAAGCGAAAGCTTCTTCTATTCCGTCCACAACCATTTGGACCATTTGAACAACCCCTAACGAGCTTAAATAAAATGCTTCTCGACATATCGAGAACCTTGAAACATACCCTCGATCTCCTTCACTTCTGACTTCTAATTTTACTAGGTTTGTGTATTTTGATTATAAAAGTGTTGCGTGTAGCGTCTCTAAACCCC